CAGTTAGCACGCCTAGCGGCATGCTCTGGGAATGGCTAGTAATGCCACAAGGGCTCAGTAATGCCCCTGCCACGTTCAACAGATGTGATACACATCTGTTGAGACCAGTACGAGAATTCGCGCCGAGTTATTTCGATGACGTATTCATCCATAGTCGAGCTATGGATGGAAAGTCGGACGTTGAGGTTCACAGGTACCACGTCCGACAAGTTCTTACAATCATGCGAAAGCATCAATTGTATGCAAACCTCAAGAAGTGTATATTTGCAGCAAGCGAAATACCACTTCTTGGGTGCATCGTTGGTAAGAACGGTGTACGTCCTGATCCCGAAAAGATCAAGGCGATCACCGACTGGCCTGTGCCGGTCGATGTTAAAGGTCTTCGAATATTCCTTGGGCTAGCGGCGTATTTGCATAAATATTCACGCAATTACGCCGAGATGACTGTGCACCTCTCTCGTTTGTTGAAAAAGAACGAGAGGTGGTTATGGAACGCTGAATGTCAACGCTCCTTTGAGGGTATCAAGCAGAGCTTGATACAATCCCCAGTCCTAGCAATAGCCGATCAGGACAGGCCATTTCATGTGGTCTGTGATGCCAGCGATTTCGCAATCGGCTGTGCATTAATGCAGTACGATCTTGAAGGCGTTGAACGCGTCGTCTGCTATCAGTCGCGTCAGCTGCAACCAGCTGAGAGGAACTATCCAGTGCATGACAAGGAACTCCTTGCCATGAAGTATGCACTCGCGAAGTTCAGAGTCTATCTATTAGGAGATAGACCCTTCGTTGTTTACACTGACCATGCGTCATTACGCACGGCAGTGAACAGCCCGCACCTTTCACAACGAATGGCGCGGTGGTTGTCATTCTTTGCGGAATACAACTTTACGGTCGAGTACAAACCAGGACGACTTAATGTCGTTGCTGATGCACTCTCACGTCGTCCCGACTTCGAAACAGTCGCGAAACCCAACAGTGAGACAGTCACTGTTGCGGTTATGACGTCCTCAGTCCCATCTACAACGTTGTACGATGATGTGAGGCGGGCATACGCCCAAGATGGTGAGATAGTGAAGCTGTTGTCACATCTCTCCCAACCATCCCGAGAATCGTTGAAACGATTGTCGCCTGCGTATCGATCTGCATCAGATCGATACACTACTCGTAACGGTTTACTGTACTATACAGCCGTTTCTGGTGACACACCACGTGTTGTCATTCCAGATGATACTGATCTGCGTTTGCGGATCATGTTCGAGTATCACGATGCTCCTATAGGAGGACATCGTGGCCGAGAGAAAACATATCTCACGGTGAGTCGAGACTTTTACTGGCCCCGCCAGTATCAGTTTGTGCGAAAGTATGTTCGCGCATGCGAAGTCTGCCAACGAGTGAAGTCAAGTCCTTCACTGCGTGCACCTTTACAGCCTCTACCGGTTCCGGCTGAGTGCTGGGAATCCATCTCAATGGATTTCGTCTTCGGGTTACCCAAAGACGCACGCGGGAATACGGGTATTCTCGTATTTGTTGACAGATTCAGCAAAATGGTACACCTTGTGGCTGTACCAGAGACAATCACGGCAAGTGGCTGTGCTTGTGTCTTTATTGACACCATCTTCCGACTTCATGGGTTGCCCCGTGAACTCGTATCAGACAGAGATCCACGATTCACTGCTGATTTCTGGCGGTCCGTGTTCAAATCACTCGGAACGCGCTTGAAGATGTCAACATCTGATCATCCCGAGTCAGATGGTCAGACGGAACGTGCCAATCGTGTCCTTGAAGAGATACTTCGAGGATACGTACACTCCTTTAAGAGTTGGAGTGAGTTTTTGCCCATGGTAGAGTTTGCCATTAACAACTCGGTGCATGCGTCCACGACACATACACCGTTTTACGTGAATGGCTTACGCCATCCGCGTGTACCCACCTTATTAGAGTGTAACTCTGGTTCAAGGGGGGGAGGGACTCGCGCGAGCAAAAACCGATTTGTTTCACGCTCATCACGCTCTGACGAAGAAGTCATTGCGTTTGATGCCGATATCGATAACATCGATATCGAAGAAGATGATGCCAGTGAGAGTGCGGAAGCCCTCACTGAAGACAATGATCCCAGCGAGAGTGCGGAAGCCCTCACTGAAGAAAAGGTTGTTGTTGCTGCAGTGTGCTCACAGCACACTGAAGCTAACGAGTCATCAGATGAGTTCATACTGGCTCGTGAAACGGTAGTCCGTTTTGTGCAAGACTCCATCGCCGAAGCGGTGGATAAGCAAAAGCAAAACGCTGACAACAATGGAAGGGCAAACACTCTTTTATTTAATAAAGGTGACTTAGTCCTACTGTCTACGATTAATCTACCAAAGCATGTAGTGACTAACTTGGGTAGCAGTAAACTACTACCCAAGTACATTGGCCCATTTTGTGTATTGCACCGCCTAGGCAATGCATACACGATCGAGTTACCACGTAAGATGCGAACGCATCCCACGTTTTACGTTGGTCGGCTTAAGCCGTACCATCAGTACGCTGCTTCTTCCGATGAAGAACGCCCTTGCGCTCAAGCATCTCGCAGAGAGCCTTGTGCTCCCGATGGTGGGCATCAACAAGGGTCTGAAGAGCAGTTATCTCAGCCCGAGACCGATCATCAATCCCACGAGCTACCCTTAGCTCGTCACAAAGAGATGTCAGAGGTCTCGTTCTCGAGCTGAGCAAAGGTAAACTCAGCTCGGTGCTTCGAGGCAGTGTCCGCCATCTGGAGACGCCTATTCCGCTCATGCTCGAGATCGTCGCGTAACCCTTGCGTTACGCGATCAAAGAAGCTCTCGGGAACACACCGATCCACATGATCGTGTGGAGAGCGTCTTTCCTCCTCCTCCACCTCCATTAGAGGACTCTCGCGGTGGCCAGCGCTATCTAGTTGAGCAGCTGTTGAACCACCGCGACGTGAACGAACGTCGGACGAGTTATCTCGTCCGGTGGCGCGGCTATCCCCCGTCCTGGGATACTTGGGAGCCCCGCTCCCAACTGATGATCGACGTACTGGGTCTGGTTGAGCAGTACGACGCGGCACATCCTGTGCCGCAGAAGGACCGCCGGAGAAAGTCTTCCCGGCACGGTCGTAAAGGGATTTCAGGTTGTCAATCCCTTCGTACATCTCAGTAGAGACACGTACGCGCCACCACGGGCTGGTAAGGAGGTAAGCCTCCTTAGGTGCTCGTGCAGAGTTGTTCACACAACATGGGCACGAGTCTCCCCAAGAGAGGCAGAGTAATCCTTTCTCCCTTGACAGACGATGCAGCTTGTAGCGTGCACCTGTCGGGGTTCGCTTTTCAAACTTATCACGAGCTTTGATAAGTTTGTCGTTCCAAGCGTCACGACCTACATCCTCGAGGTTATGGATGTAGGCGTTCCACGCCTGAAGTAGTGAGGGACCATCACGTTTGTGATTCCCACTGTACCATCGATGTCTGAAGAAAGCATCGATGAAGAATTCGTGTTCAGCGCGATAGTCTTTCGCGCTGGGGTCAAGGTGATGGATCCTTGACAAATCGAACAATCGTGTTCGATAACGATCACTCGTCGTCGCCGACAAGTGATCCATGACGGATTTAGGAGGCATCCATGCCTTCTTTTCTGGAGCGAGACGCAACACATTGCGGTCCCGCTCTTCCTGCGACGTGCCGACAGAAGTACTGGCACCTCGCTGTGAAGTGGTGTCCATTGGAGAACCGACACCACTATTAGCGCCCGAGTCTCGCGACCTCGAGCGCCTTCGCTTCGGCGATGGTTCATCTGATTCATCAGATGAACCAAAGATGCTGCGACGCAAAGCATCGTCCATGCCACGCTTGGCAGGCGGCTTGGATTCAATTGCCGTCGATACGGATCCGTCATCCGTATCAGGAGAGTACGAGACACCGAGCTCGTACTCTGTGAAGACACGAGTGTCTTCATGACCAGCGCCTGCGTCACCAAGTGACACAGGCTGGGTCGCTTCAGCAACCGATGGGACATCAGTTGCTGTTGTTTCTGCTTCGGCGTCCGCACAGAGACGTGCAGACGCGCTCTCGGCGGCCTTGCTCGCGCATCGCATGGGCTTGTTAACCATGCGATGAAATGTTGGAAAGTGGACGCGGACCAACAAGTGCAAACCCTGTCCCAAATGATTTGGGACGAGTATCCATTTAGTCAATCAGTCACTAAAGTGACTGATGGTTAAGGGGGGGGGTGATGTAACGGGGTGAATCGTTACATAACAATTTATAAGAAATTGTTATTAGAATATAACTATAAGAGTTATATTCTCAGAATATTGTCATAAGGACAAATATTCTGTAGCACTTACAAGTAGCTCCTAATTGGTTGATATAGGCCATTATATCAACCAACGAAGACGCTCCACGACAGACGCACGCAATGAGTGGTGAGCAGATAATTGATTTACACATTTGTATTTAGACATAGTTAGATGAAGATAAATAGGGATTTATTGCAGACATTAACTATTATAAATGCAGTTCTACTTTTTACTTTAACCAAGTACTCGCTTCTAGTTACCGTCTTCCTCTGCACGTACGAGTGTACGTGAAGTTACGAGGCGCCGCCTTATTCTGTTATCAGAATAAGTAGCTTGTACTGTCACCAGTACAAGCTTCAGGGTGCCCCGTTACAGAATTGGGCGTCTTTCTGAGCTCCTTCAGATGATGAAATTGAGTGGCATAGCCGAATCAAAAATGAACCCAGCCGTTACCATTGATCTTGTGAAGAAGACGCATTTATAGCCAATGACGGAGCAGCAGGCTGGTCGACAGGCTGGTCGACAGTCTGGCTGGCTTGTGGCTCTCTGTGACCGACACTATGTCAGCATTATGACCAACCCCTGCAGTAGTGACAGGAACTGGTTGGTCGGTCGGTCGATCGACATCTACGTGGTCCACACATTCCGACCAGGAGAACTGGCTTCTCTCATTTCTCAAAACCCCTCGCAGTTAGGAAGAAGAATGATGCGTCCCACTCGTTACGTGGTCACGGCCTTCGCCTTCTTGGTTCTAACAAGTGCCGATTCTAGAACCAATGTCGACAGTGAGACGAACAATGAGGCAGTTAACATTTCCACTCTGCATTCTCCTCTGGAACTTACTGCGTTCGACGGGCCAGGACACTTGCACTCGCAGGACTCTACAGTGGCAGCGAGCGACTTTGTTCACCGCCGCGACGAGGAGAGAGGGTTGAACGATGTAGTGTCACACGGGAGCGCTGCAATTCATCAAGGATTACAGGGGGAACTGATAGCCTTGCAGAAAAAAGCATATACGAACTTTCTGGAGCATGTTGATGTCCCATCGGGGTCGAATCAGGATCTCACCTTATTTCAGAAGCTCTACGAGTGGTCTGCGTATGTGGAGTTGTTTAACATTCAAACTCGCGCGTTCGAAGACGTTGAGATACTTGAGCATATGGTGAAGAAATTTAAAGTCAAGAGGGTGATAAAATTTCTCCATTGGCTTGAGAGCTTTCCTCCTTCGAAGGAGCGCGCCAGCAGCTTGCTGGAAGTGATAACTATGAAAAACTCGGAAGACGCCGAAAAGATCAAGCAATTGTGTTTGACATGGGAAATAGGACCGGACGAGATTAATGAATTAATGCCCATTGCAGCGATGGGGAGACTGACAGGTGAAGTAAAGAAAAAGGCAGCGTGGAGTTCCGTCGAAGTCGAACTTTCTTCGTGGTTGAAATATGTTCTGGATTTCAACATGAGCTACCCGGAGAAATACTTCGACAGCAAATCCGTTGTGACCTGGCTTTTGAACAGAAGAGGGGTGGATGAGACGACCGCAATTTTTGAGCAGTTCCTCGAATCGAGACCAATTATCTATGATTGGGAAAAACAGCTGGTTGCTTTACACCCTGCGACCTTGAGTCGGATGCTTCCTAGGTGGCTGAAAGCAGATGTGAAACCTAGGGATGTCTTAAGGATATTGCCTCGCGCAGTGGAGATTCGTGCGCATGGTGTTGGAGGGTCCACGAAGTGGCCTGGCATCCGTCTCGAGCTCAAGCTGTGGATTGGATATTTTAAAGGGTGGAACCGTAAACATTCTATCGCTCTTGCTGGCAAAGAATATGCTCACCTTTTCTCAGAAGAGATCGTACTCGACACACTGGAGTTTTGCAGTGGAGCAGAAGAAGTGAATGCATTCCTTCACGGTCTTCGAGCCGATAACGAGTTGAAGGATCTGGCGTCAAAGATGGAGAAGTTATTGCCTGCCAGACGCAAGAAGCTAATGAAGATCAAGTTGCTGGCGGAAGCGAAGGCAGGTCCTGCAGAAGTGTTCAGGAAATTGCCCATTGCAAAGGTGGATCGCTCGATTGCGACATTTGATCGCGCAGGGCGCGCAAAGCAAATAGAAGATCCTGAAGTCTTCTTCAAGAAACTCAAACAGTTTCTTGGATATGTGGACGCATACCGAGAAAATTACGGTGAGTTTAGTGACAATGACGTCGTCCATTTGTTGGACAGAGCGAGAAGATCGCTGGCGGAGGTATTTGCATATCTTCAATTGTTTGAAAGCGTCCCTGGAATAGAGACGCGCGCAGCCCAACTACTAGAAGCGTTTCGTGAATATCACAGAATAGGTTCTTTCGGTTCTTTGCAGAAGGAGACACGTGAGATCATGCAGCGGATACGTTTTTATTGTTTATAACCGGCTGGCCTGATAATGAAGGCATCCAATTTGCTACAGCAGTCAATGGTCGTTACATCGGTTTGTACTATGACTTTGTAATTGGCGCTGTGGAGGTAGCAGGTGGCATGCTCCATGTTTTTACGGACATTCGCTATCTCGCGTTTGCAACGAGTGCTCGCATAACGCAAATGGTATTGACAAACGACTTCTCTGCAATAACTTCGATGCCATGTGGAACGTTGGCCAGTCAAGACATTTGCTCACGACGGTCGGCTCTTTTTACCACGCTCGTTGTGGTAGCGTAGTTTACTGCACCAGCATCTGCTTTCTGCGGAGGCAATCACAATTGAGACCTTATAGCGCATGTCAAACTTGACGTTGTTCTCGACGAAGGCCAACCACAGTCATTATCGAAGGTAAACTTACAGCTCTAGCATGCATTTGACACCAGACGCGCCTACCTGCATGCTGCCCTTCGTCTCTCTAGTCCGATTCAAAGTCCTACTCGTCCACCGCATATGTCTTTGCGAATGCGATTGAAAGGCAGCACAACTGTCCTTGCATGCTGCTGACATCTCTCTGTTGGTAATCGTCAAAGACATCCATATACCACCACAAGCTGAACGGAAGGTGTTTGCAAGCTCCAGTGCGCTGACGCGCTGGTGCTTTTCTCGGACACGTCATGCTGTCGAGCGGTTGATTCGACTCGCGGCATTGACAGTGAGTAGAGTGGCTCACCGATGCCGGCAAGTAAAGTCGCGGACGTTTGTGCATCTACTGGGTCGCAAAGTATCTTTTCTTGTGGCACTTCTGTGGCATGTCGTCGCCGTCGTGTCTGGGTCTCATGTAGAACAGCAACGACAAGTTCGTAGCCGATAGTTGTCATTGAAGATCGCAGCTTTCCACTTTTCGATAAGCTCCATGCGAGGAGACAGTAACGGATGCATTTGATCGACGGTGCATCTGCACTTGCCTCCTATAAAGCCGATCCAGACATGATGATTATCCACAAAAAACGCTGGTGTTGCTACACGATTCATCAGTACCGCTATTTCAAGTTGAAGCATTGAAAGTTGTCCGGAGTAATCAGGTGCAATATGCCTTCGAACGCAGTGTGCACGTTTTTCCTAGTCTTGGCCGGGGCAGTAAAACTGCAACGAGGCTCAGGTCAATGGTCGTGCCTTCTTCTACCCCTCGATGTAGCAAATGATCGAGAGTGTAATTTGCTTTGCACTGTCATGTGTTTCACGTTCAGCTCGGATCAATTGGCAAGCCGTAGTGAATCAAAATCGACTTCCATGCCGTCTCACTTCAGTTTGCTTGGCAATCAAGCAATCTTGTCGATTGCTATTGATCGTGTCGTAAGCACTCGCAGAGGAACGACCACACAAAAGCGGGATGCAGCTTACTGATGCCACAACACTGACAACCTTTTCGTGTCCTTACTCGACTTTTCGAATCAATCTGCATTTACAAAAGGTGCCCAAAACTGGTTTGCATGGCGATCGCCATACGACAGTACACTATCCATTCCCGATTGATCGAGTGGACTGTTGGAACTGAAGCGCAGCGTGTGTGTTCACGATGCACGAGCAGCACACCGGAGAAGAATTGGTAAAAAGCCAGGCGTGAGTCAGTGAAACGTCAGCACTGACGTCCTGCTTGCGGGCTGGCTGTTGATTGTGATGCATCACAATGACAACGCTGTCAAAAACATCCACATCGCATAGGAGGCAAATTGCAATAAAGTCATTCATTTGCCGATGTTGTTGGGAGAGGTCGTCTCTCTTACGCGTACTTGTATTGACAGTCAGCCAAAGAAATGTTGGAGGTCTTAACAAGCTTAGACAGCCAGTCAAGGCGCCTCCAGTGTAACGGGGTGAATCGTTACATAACAATTTATAAGAAATTGTTAATAGAATATAACTATAAGAGTTATATTCTCAGAATATTGTCATAAGGTTAAATATTCTGCAGCACTTACGAGTATTTCCTAATTGGTTGATATAGGCCATTATATCAACCAACGAAGACGCGCCACGACAGACGCACGCAATGAGTGGTGAGCAGATAACTGATGTACACATTTGTATTTAGACATAGTTAGATGAAGATAAACAGTTATTTTTTAAAAAACATTAACTATACTAAATACAGTTCTACTTTTTACTTTAACCAAGTACTCGCTTCTTCTTGCCGTCTTCCTCTGCACGTACTAGTGTACGTGAAGTTACGAGGCACCGCCTTATTCTGTCATCAGAATAAGTAGATTGTACTGTTACCAGTACAAGCTTCAGGGTGCCCCGTTACACCTGGTAGCACTTCGTAGTCCGTCCAAGGACCGCGTTCACATCCAACATGAATATGTTGGATGATGAAGATGAACAAAGCTTTCACGCTACGCCTGACGGCTACTCCCATTTGAGCGATGTCGAATGGGATGCGGTTGAACGAATGGGTTCGACCATGGGCATCCATGCTGTTAGCGTCATGCTAGAGGCTCTCAATAGAGACGCCCAACATGCTACTATCGCCAAGTTCATCCAAAATGAACTTGACGCTGAACGCGAGAAAGTAGCCTTGCTTCACCAACAAGGTTCTCAACAAGCAGAGTTGTTGAGAGAACAAGGTGCTCAACAGTTTGAACTGTTGAGACAGCAGCAGGCTGCTGCTGGCGGGTCGATGCACTCGCGTCGGCCCGAGACTTTGAAGATTGACATCTCAAAGTATAGAGGGGTCGAAGAAGACTCCCTCTTGAGATGGTTCGTCGAATTGGATGACGCCATAAGGGCGCGTCGCATCGACGACGGGGATATGCAAGTTGCATTTGCCCAATCAAATCTGGCAGGACGTGCCAAGACTTGGGCACTGGGGCTCAAGCTGCACGACCCATATGCGTTTGGGTCGTTGGAAGTCTTCAAGTCGCGGCTCAGACAAACGTTTGAGCCGCCTAGAGCTGAGTTCAGGGCTCGAACCGAACTCTTGAAGCTCAAGCAGGGTAAGCGTGATGTGCACGCTTACGCTCAACACATACGACATCTTACGAGTTGTATAAGTTCCAATCCAGTGGATGAACACACGTTGGTTTCGGTGTTCATGCAGGGTCTTGCGGATGGTCCCGTCAAGACTCACCTGTTCCGGCTTGAACTAGATTCACTAGAACAAGCCATTTCCATTGCGGAGCAGGAAGACTTCAGTCTGAGACAGGCTCGCGCCAGCTCGACATCATATCGTCAACCGAGACGATATGACAACGGAGGTCCAGAGCCGATGGAACTCTGTTATGTAGAGAGCGAGAAGGTTCGCTCTACAGGCTACAAGAAGTTGCAGAGATGCAACAGATGTCAGAAGACAGGACACTACGCTTACGAGTGTAGTGCCCCCCGTCCAGTGTCTCGCGACACTGGGCGTAGTGACCGTCCACCCATGAGAAAGGGGCAGGGACGAGGGTCCGCAGTTGGTGCAAAGACGCAACAACGGGATGGACCGTCAAAAAACGGACAGGATCAGTAGGTGCGGAGCACCCTACTGGTCTAGCAACGTCAAGAGAATTTGTAGGCCTCTCGATGAAGGTTGCTCCCAACACACAGACGTTGTGCGTTGCTGCTCTAGGTAATGAGGTCTCACTCATTACCTTGAAACTCGAAGTGACGAATAATTTGTCCCTTCGAGCTCTAGTCGATTGTGGGGCGTCCAACAATTTTGTGCGACGCCAATCGCTAGAAGATGGTCACTTTAAATTCAGTGAATGTGACACACCTCCCACGAGGATGACGGTACGTCTTGCGACAGGCGCATCCGTAACCGTCATGAAGCGTATAGTGAAGATTCGCTATACGCTAGAAGATACCCAAATATGACGATGAATTTATCGTATTGGATTTGGATGACAAATTTGATGTCATCCTTGGAATACCGTGGCTCAGAAGGTACGAACCACGGGTAAACTGGCAACATCGGACAGTAACGATGCCTGCCGCTTGTTCATCAGATGGCCATCTGATGAACGTTTTGGAGCGTCCACAAGCGTGTGGATGTACTACGAGTGAGTGCGATGGCCTCACTTGTGGTACGGTCGTTAGTACGACTGCACAAAACCTTAGTGTACCAAACGGTTACACTTCGGAGCAAAGTTCCGGCGGCTGTGAGGAAACACAGGCTGCGCCGAAGGTCCACCACTCGAATAAGTCGGGTGGACTGGGACAAAGATGTATCCCTAGAGGGGAACATCTAGAAGAGAAACAATCGATCGCTCAGGTTAAGCGAAACGATAATCCTAGATCGACTGGAGAGTCTTTCGTAGAGGATCTCGCTGTGGTTGCGCAACCCCAGCTAGAGGAAGTAAAGGGAATAAGTCCCAAGATTACAAATACGGCGGAAATAAGTTCCCCGAAACCCGCGGGAATAAGTCCCCGGGAAGACGAAGGAATAAGTCCTTCGAAGCCTGAGGGAATAAGTCCCCAGGAAATGACAGAGACATTGAATGTCATAGTCAATAACGGATCAAGTGTAGGCGCTTATACACTTGATCTGATTGCGCCTCCGAAGTTAACTTCGGAGATCACTCAGTTGCCAACGCTCGAACATAAAAGGTTCTTGCGTGATCTGCGTAGTGGCAAAGTCAAGCAGATCTGCATACTCGTCGCTGACGACGAGTGTGTAACCGACATAAGGTCAGCAACAGTGTTTACTGAGAACGAGAGAGTTCTCAGTCGTTCATCTATGGACGAGAGTGTCATAGATGAAAAGACACGAATTGAGCGATACGACTCCCAATCATGGGAATCGCTCAAGACAAATCCTCTTTATAAAGAACTGGTTGAATTCAAGGATGTATTCCCTGAAACTGTTCCGTGTGAATTACCGAAGGATAAAGGTATTCGACACGAAGTCGAGCTTAAACCAGGCTCGAAGTACTGTGTCATGAAGCAGTGGCCACTGCCTCGTGAACAAGTACTTGCGATCGACAAGTTCTTTGCCGATCGTTTAGCAGCGGGCCATGTGAGGGAATCAACTTCCCCACATAGCTCTCCGACCTTCTGTGTGCGAAAAGCAACAGGAGGGTGGCGGATAGTGCACGCGTTCAACAAATTGAACGCTGCAACGGTACCGGCTCAGACGCCGATACCGAGGAAGGACGTAATCATTGATGGTATGTCAAGGAGTACCATCTTTTCGTCCATGGATTTGATGGATGGCTTCTATCAAATCCTTATGCGGAACGGGATATACCCTATACCGCAGTTAGCACGCCTAGCGGCATGCTCTGGGAATGGCTAGTAATGCCACAAGGGCTCAGTAATGCCCCTGCCACGTTCAACAGATGTGTATCACATCTGTTGAGACCAGTACGAGAATTCGCGCCGAGTTATTTCGATGACGTATTCATCCATAGTCGAGCTATGGATGGAAAGTCGGACGTTGAGGTTCACAGGTACCACGTCCGACAAGTTCTTACAATCATGCGAAAGCATCAATTGTATGCAAACCTCAAGAAGTGTATATTTGCAGCAAGCGAAATACCACTTCTTGGGTGCATCGTTGGTAAGAACGGTGTACGTCCTGATCCCGAAAAGATCAAGGCGATCACCGACTGGCCTGTGCCGGTCGATGTCAAAGGTCTTCGAAAATTCCTTGGGCTAGCGGCGTATTTGCACAAATATTCACACAATTACGCCGAGATGACTGTGCACCTCTCTCGTTTGTTGAAAAAGAACGAGAGGTGGTTATGGAACGCTGAATGTCAACGCTCCTTTGAGGGTATCAAGCAGAGCTTGATACAATCCCCAGTCCTAGCAATAGCCGATCAGGACAGGCCATTTCATGTGGTCTGTGATGCCAGCGATTTCGCAATCGGCTGTGCATTAATGCAGTACGACCTAAAGGCGTTGAACGCGTCGTCTGCTATCAGTCGCGTCAGCTGCAACCAGCTGAGCGGAACTATCTAGTGCATGACAAGGAACTCCTTGCCATGAAGTATGCACTCGCGAAGTTCAGAGTCTATCTATTAGGAGATAGACCCTTCGTTGTTTACACTGACCATGCGTCCTTACGCACGGCAGTGAACAGCCCGCACCTTTCACAACGAATGGCGCGGTGGTTGTCATTCTTTGCGGAATACAACTTTACGGTTGAGTACAAACCAGGACGACTTAATGTCGTCGCTGATGCACTCTCACGTCGTCCCGACTTCGAAACAGTCGCGAAGCCCAACAGTGAGACAGTCACTGTTGCGGTTATGACGTCCTCAGTTCCATCTTCAACGTTGAATGATGATGTGAGGCGGGCATACGCCCAAGATGGTGAGATTGTGAAGTTGTTGTCACATCTTTCCCAACCATCCCGAGAATCGTTGAAACGATTGTCGCCTGCGTATCGATCTGCATCAGATCGATACACTACTCGTAACGGTTTACTGTATTATACAGCCGTTTCTGGTGACACACCACGTGTTGTCATTCCAGATGATACTGATCTGCGTTTGCGGATCATGTTCGAGTATCACGATGCTCCTATAGGAGGACATCGTGGCCGAGAGAAAACATATCTCACGGTAAGTCGAGACTTTTACTGGCCCCGCCAGTATCAGTTTGTGCGAAAGTATGTTCGCGCATGCGAAGTCTGTCAACGAGTGAAGTCAAGTCCTTCACTGCGTGCACCTTTACAGCCTCTACCAGTTCCGGCTGAGTGCTGGGAATCCATCTCAATGGATTTCGTCTTCGGGTTACCCAAAGACGCACGCGGGAATACGGGTATTCTCGTATTTGTTGACAGATTCAGCAAAATGGTACACCTTGTGGCTGTACCAGAGACAATCACGGCAAGTGGCTGTGCTTGTGTCTTTATTGACACCATCTTCCGACTTCATGGGTTGCCCCGTGAACTCGTATCAGACAGAGATCCACGATTCACTGCTGATTTCTGGCGTTCCGTGTTCAAATCACTCGGAACGCGCTTGAAGATGTCAACATCTGATCATCCAGAGTCAGATGGTCAGACGGAACGTGCCAATCGTGTCCTTGAAGAGATACTTCGAGGATACGTACACTCCTTTAAGAGTTGGAGTGAGTTTTTTGCCAATGGTAGAGTTTGCCATCAACAACTCGGTGCATGCGTCCACGACACATACACCGTTTTACGTGAATGGCTTACGCCATCCGCGTGTACCCACCTTACTAGAGTGTAACTCTGGTTTAAGGGGGGGAGGGACTCGCGCGAGCAAAAACCGATTTGGTTCACGCTCATCACGCTCTGACGAAGAAGTCATTGCGTTTGATGCCGATATCGATAACATTGATATCGAAGAAGATGATGCCAGTGAGAGTGCGGAAGCCCTCACTGAAGACAATGATCCCAGTGAGAGTGCGGAAGCCCTCACTGAAGAAAAGGTTGTTGTTGCTGCAGTGCGCTCACAGCACACTGAAGCTAACGAGTCATCAGATGAGTTCATACTGGCTCGTGAAACGGTAGTCCGTTTTGTGCAAGACTCCATCGCCGAAGCGGTGGATAAGCAAAAGCAAAACGCTGACAAGAATGGAAGGGCAAACACTCTTTTATTTAATAAAGGTGACTTAGTCCTACTGTCTACGGTTAATCTACCAAAGCATGTAGTGACTAACTTGGGTAGCAGTAAACTACTACCCAAGTACATTGGCCCATTTCGTGTATTGCACCGCCTAGGCAATGCATACACGATCGAGTTACCACGTAAGATGCGAACGCATCCCACGTTTTACGTTGGTCGGCTTAAGCCGTACCATCAGTACGCTGCTTCTTCCGATGAAGAACGCCCTTGCGCTCAAGCATCTCGCAGAGAGCCTTGTGCTCCCGATGGTGGGCATCAACAAGGGTCTGAAGAGCAGCTATCTGATCCCGAGACCGATCAACAATCCCACGAGCTACCCTTAGCTCGTCACGAAGAGATGTCAGAGCTCTCTCGTTCTCAAGCTGAGCAAAGGCAAACTCAGCTCGATGCTTCGAGGCAGTGTCCACCATCTGGAGACGCCTATTCCGCTCATGCTCGAGATCGTCGCGTAACCCTTGCGTTACGCGATCAAAGAAGCTCTCGGGAACACACCGATCCACATGATCGTGTGGAGAGCGTCTTTCCTCCTCCTCCACCTCCATTAGAGGACTCTCGCGGTGGCCAGCGCTATCTAGTTGAGCAGCTGTTGAACCACCGCGACGTGAACTGGACGTCGGACGAGTTACCTCGTCCGGTGGCGCGGCTATCCCCCGTCCTGGGATTCTTGGGAGCCCCGCTCCCAATTGATGGTTGACGTACTGGGTCTGGTCGAGCAGTACGACGCGGCACATCCTGTGCCGCAGAAGGACCGCCGGAGAAAGTCTTCCCGGCACGGTCGTAAAGGGATTTCAGGTTGTCAATCCCTTCGTACATCTCAGTAGAGACACGTACGCGCCATCACGGGCTAGTAAGGAGGTAAGCCTCCTTAGGTGCTCGTGCAGAGTTGTTCACACAACATGGGCACGAGCCTCCCCAAGAGAGGCAGGGTAATCCTTTCGCCCTTGACAGACGATGCAGCTTGTAGCGTGCACCTATCGGGGTTCGCTTTTCAAACTTATCACGAGCTTTGATAAGTTTGTCGTTCCAAGCGTCACGACCTACATCCTCGAGGTTATGGATGTAGGCGTTCCACGCCTGAGTAGTGAGGGACCATCACGTTTGTGATTCCCACTGTACCATCGATGTCTGAAGAAAGCATCGATGAAGAACTCATGTTCAGCGCGATAGTCTTTCGCGCTGGGGTCAAGGTGATGGATCCTTGACGAATCGAACAATCGTGTTCGATAACGATCACTCGTCGTCGCCGACAAGTGATCCATGACAGATTTCGGAGGCATCCATGCCTTCTTTTCTGGAGCGAGACGCAACACATTGCGGTCCCGCTCTTCCTGCGACGTGCCGACAGAAGTACTGGCACCTCGCTGTGAAGTGGTGTCCATAGGAGAACCGACACCACTATTAGCGCCCGAGTCTCGCGACCTCGAGCGCCTTCGCTTCGGCGATGGTTCATCTGATTCATCAGATGAACCAAAGATGCTGCGACGCAAAGCATCGTCCATGCCACGCTTGGCAGGCGGCTTAGATTCAATCGCCGTCGATACGGATCCGTCATCCGTATCAGGAGAGTACGAGACACCGAGCTCGTACTCTGTGAAGACACGAGTGTCTTCATGACCAGCGCCTGCGTCACCAAGTGACACAGGCTGGGTCTCTTCAGCAACCGATGAGACATCAGTTGCTGTTGTTTCTGCTTCGGCGTCCGCACAGAGACGTGCAGACGCGCTCTCGGCGGCCTTGCTCGCGCATCGCATGGGCTTGTTAACCATGCGATGAAATGTTGGAAAGTGGACGCGGACCAACAAGTACAAACCCTGTCCCAAATGATTTGGGACGAGTATCCATTTAGTCAATCAGTCACTAAAGTGACTGATGGTTAAGGGGGGGGGGTGATGTAACGGGGTGAATCGTTACATAACAATTTATAAGAAATTGTTATTAGAATATAACTATACGAGTTATATTCTCAGAATATTGTCATAAGGACAAATATTCTGTAGCACTTACAAGTAGTTCCTAATTGGTTGATATAGGCCATTATATCAACCAACGAAGACGCGCCACGACAGACGCACGCAATGAGTGGTGAGCAGATAATTGATTTACACATTTGTATTTAGACATAGTTAGATGAAGATAAATAGTGATTTATTGCAGACATTAACTATTATAAATACAGTTCTACTTTTACTCTAACCAAGTACTCGCTTCTTCTTACCGTCTTCCTCTGCACGTACGAGTGTACGTGAAGTTACGAAGCACCGCCTTATTCTGTTATCAGAATAAGTAGCTTGTACTGTCACCAGTACAAG